TATGCAGCAGCTGGAAAGACCAACTAAGATGAATGCAAGCAAAGACCTTCATCACTTTTCCAAACTGTTAAAACTAGGAAGAAGAAACTCTCGGCAGGAAGAAAGCTAGGACTCTTGTTGAAATCCTTAGAGGTCACAGAACTGCGATGTGCTTGCTTGGTAAACGGTTGGAAAATTGTAGTAACTGTTTAGGCTTTTCTAATTATATTTTGTGAAAGTAAACTGTGTTTTTTCTTTCGTTGCTAGTTTCCACTACTACAAACAGTAACGTCGTTCTACAGTAATCGTGAAATAATTAAAGTAAATTGGGTTTCTTCTGTATTAAACAATGTATTTTCGTGATAGTGTTGCATAATATTGTATAGTTAACAAATAGGCCGGAACGTCCACAAAAGAATTAGGCATATTAAAAAGAAAAAGTAGACGGTTTTTAATAATTAAGCCTCAACAATAGAATGCTGGCGTATTTATTTACACCTAATATTTATAATGATATGAGCGGTTGATTGCTGATGGAAATTTCACGCGTCCTACAACTTTATTTTTTATTTTTTTGTCTATGAAACAAATATGAAGTTAGAAATATTGAAAGAAATATGAAATGTGGCATTCTGTGCCAGCGGCCATATTAGATTTGAAATTTGTCATAGTGTACAGTATTCTACTAGTCAAATCCTTTCATTTAATACTAATATTGAGGGGGTTGTGAAAAATATGTAATCCGCCATTTGGTAGCTGCTGCCATCTTGGATTTACAATGATACTGATTATATTAAATTGTATTGTCAATAAAACTAAAGATGTGTACCAAATATCACATCAATCTGTGAACAGAAAGGGGGTAAAATTTCAACTACAAAATATGATCGAAACAAATAAACAAACCGTTTAAAAACATGCGGTGTACTATTGCTCTTGCAAATATCAGTTAAACAATTTTCATTTTCCGTAAAATAAAGAGTAGCGGCTTAAAAGTGTCCTATCACAATAAAAAGTCTAAAATTCAGATGTGAAAATTACCACATACATAATTTTCTCTCTGCTACTTGCTCAACCATATAACTATAGCTTTTTGCATTTATTATTGCCTGCAGATATAAGATACGTGTTACATAAAAATTAGTGCCGCCTCAGCATGAGTTGTAAAATGTACCAGAGACCTATATGTGCTACAAACGTATCGTGTTCGCAAGAGCTGGATGAACGCTCAAAACATTGACCGAGTTTCTCACATTAAGTCTGTTAACAAAGACCGTAATATATACTTTTGTTTTTAATTTAAGAGTCGGTACAAGGCAAATTGTTTCTAACTGTTCTTTTAAAGGTCTTATACTTCATATATAGCATTCACCAATTACACCTATTTAGGACAGTTATATCAGGAGGAACGGACTTAAGTTTTTACGCTATTTATCCATTCTTCTCCTGATTTTAAGCTTCTATTGTTACAAAACATGGCCCATAATTCATAAAACTGCTGTCAAGTCAAGTCAAAATGAATCCGGATATCGAATAAGAATATCATTAAAACACCCGGATACAAGATACGAATGCTTTTAGTGATCGCTAAATGTATTTAATGTTCGTGGGTTTAACAAAATTAACTTCTAAGACTGATAACGGCAAAAACTATTTATTTACACTAATTATTAAAGAACTTAAAAACACTATGAAATTATTACTAAATTTAGGTTATGAATTATTCCATTTATTAAACTACTGTTGATATATCACTATTCACTGCGCTATTTATTTCACTGATATCACTGTCAATTTATTTCTGGATTCAGTTCTGCAAGGGTCAATTTATTTCTACTTCTCTCGGCGATCGTCTCTTCCTTTAAATACTCTTTTGTTTCCTATCTGGAAACCTCTGGAAACATCCAGATCGTTTAGTTTTTCTTTGAACTGTTTAACTGCTTTCCCAGAACGCAGGTACGTCACACACATTTACAAATACGACGCACATGAAGAAAGGCGCCCGCGGCTAGTCGGCGAATCGATAAACCGTTTACGCACACGTGCCCAATCGCACACAAACACACTCGTGCTCGCTACATTATCATAGATAGAACGTTTAAACGGCTGTGGCTAAACGACTGCTGACGGAAGCAGTAGCTTAACGAAGAAGTGACGCTACATGGTTAAGATCGACAACAGTACCATCCGCTTAAATTTAGATGAATTATAGCAATTATATACATATTTTACAATATCGTCATTGTGTGTCAAAGCTACCGTTTTGAAATTGGACTAATTGACTGTATTAGTGTTTCTACAGACGGTGCAACTTTCCGTTTGCAGTTAATCGCAACGTTATCATCAATAGCCAAAATTTTATGGATAATTTTCACGGACACGACAGAAAAAGGTGTAACATATTTTTTGTTTCTACCTTCGAGACAACAAAATAATTCGTCTCTTATCCATAATGCTGCCACCACAACTGCACTCCACTGACCTTAAAAAAAAAACATTAGGAAACGGCACACAAATTTTTTATTTTTAATCGCTTGAATGATGACTAAAGCATCCCGAGCGGCCACATCGACTGAGAAGGGTGGACTTCGTGAGATCAAGCAGCGGCCTTTCAAACAATTCAAAACACTCAAACACTCTTTTTTCAATAACAATTAGTTTAAATTAATACAATTACTGTAAAACCTTACTTGTCGTAAACAATGTATTTTGTATCCTGTTCTTCATAACATTCCCCTTTCGTCTCTATATATGATGTATTTATTAGTAATGGATTAGGAACTCCTGATTGGAACCAACGTCCAGACCATTCAGAAGGAAACTTGCAACCGCCTGTAACAAATAAAAAAAAAACTGATGTTAAAATAGTTACAAGCCAATGGTTAATAATGAATTCAGGGTATGACCTAATGCAACCGATAAAATGGATGAAAGCAATATTTATAATGTAATAAAAGTATTCGTTTCCAGCTTCTAAACTTGGTGGACGGATAGTTACTCCGCCGAAGGCTAGGGTGGAAAGCTCTCTTTAGCCCCTTTAAGGAATAATGGAAATGGGTGGATAGAGTTTGGGGTGAGAATGGTGAGACGGATGAAATGAAGTCAGAAGAAAATGAAAGATTATCTATGGAATATAACTGCCGCAACATTTGCTTAAGTGATCCAAGGAAAATTGGACCACGGCAGAAAAAACAGAATTGAACCGGCGTTTTCCCAAATGCTAAGCAATGGTCTAAATCTCTGGGTCATGTCACTCGGTGTTTAATACTCATAAGAAGTGACAAATAGTATATTATGCACTAAGGGAAAGGAGTATGACATTCCCTCTCCGGTGTCATATTTTCGATAGCAAGGTTAATTACTACACTTTTGCTAAATAATATGCTTTGATATATACTTTAAAGTATCGTAATCTATGTAAATATGCTGTAATAAGCTTGAGAAATATTTTCCACACTAATTTACAGTTTTTATTCCAGTACGCTCACTATGACCAATTCTAAAAACATGCGGTTTGTTGAATAAAGATCAATTTAATCCTCTTAATGAATAATGCATCTCTATTAACTGGACATATGTAAATATTTTGAAAGATGCAAATGTATTTAGACAAAATTAATATTATTAACACTATTTAGGTAAGTATCTAGAAATGTTCAATTGTTTTAATGATTCAAACACAGGTGTTTCCGCTCAATGATGGCGTTATTGATGGATTTTGCAATTTTTGTATTTATTTTGAAATCACAGGTAGTTAGATCGATTTTATTTACAGATTTTATTTACCTCTTGGGGTACAAATAAATAAATACAGTTGTTTTAGAGTTGAGTCGTTATGTCTCCCTCTCGGCAACGTAAATCTCATCATCCTTCCCATCTTGCTACCTTCGTATCCGTGAACGAAATACACAATATACGAACGGCGCGTATTGTTTTATAAACGGGTCGGATCCAATTTAAGTTTAAATCCGCGGAAAATCCCGCCACGGTTTGAAAAAGACGGCGTTCGCGTCCGACGAGAAATAACTTAATAAAAATTACCCCATTCCTTAAATTAGGGTGGACGGAGAGACGGCAGAAGTACAACAGAAGACGTTATTTAAGTTTATTCCGAGTTTTTATCGTGAGGACTCAGCTGGAGGATCGCGAGTCGTTATACGAAGTAAGATTAAAGGGCGTCTAAACAGTGGCAACCAACGACGATGCCGTGGTTGTTCTGTTAGAGGGCTGCAACGCCTTGTTTAGGGATAAGTGATTTTATGATTCGGATACAACCGCACCCTCTTATAATAATAATTCCGTGTCGTTCGGCATAATTGTGTTACCAACTTTCCAGATGTTCCAACTTATGACGCCCTACGCTAAAGCAATAAGAGGTTCCACCTTCAAAAAAAACGTTTAATGAAGTTTAAAACGTTTTATATAAGTACTCTTATTGAATTTCTTCATTTATTTGATTTCATAAACATGAAAATGAATTTTTCAAAACATAAACAAAGGTTCTTTTAAGTAAAATATTGTTCGAGTCCGATTCATCAATTCGTTTTAATCGAAATTCAATTTCTTTTAAACTGCTTAAACTCGGAAATGGGTCAGATGGTGAAATCTTAGACTATTGTATCTACCAGAGCCACCCCCATTTGTAATGACCTATGAAGCTTGTTATCCATAATATTTAGGAAGGGACTCCACCCCCTTTATTTACAAATTCAATTTAATTTAACTTTTTCGTTTAAAAGAGCTCATATGATTCAAACACAGTTACAAGATTTCCAAATTAGGTTAAGATAGTTCCAAACAAACGGGTTCGATGTACATAGTCCACACTGTAAATTAAAGTGTACAGTGGATGTAAGTGCAATACAAAATTCAAAAACAAATTAAACGTCTATGCGTTCTTAATCTCAGTAACAAATAGCGCCGCTAATCAGTTTTGGTGGTGACGATTTATTCTGCACTACTAATAGTTAACAGCAGGATGTTGCCTGATACGAGCCCATCCGAACAGATATTAATGGCTTTTAATAAGTGTCCTTACTGAATAATTTTATAAGCTTGTTAAACACACTTGTCGAAGATGTCCGGTAACTTAACCCCACCATTTTNTCGTTTAAAAGAGCTCATATGATTCAAACACAGTTACACGATTTCCAAAATAGGTTAAGATAGTTCCAAACAAACGGGTTCGATGTACATAGTCCACATTGTAAATTAAAGTGTACAGTGATGTAAGTGCAATACAAAATTCAAAAACAAATTAAACGTCTATGCGTTCTTAATTTCAGTAACAAATAGCACCGCTAATCAGTTTTGGTGGTGACGATTTATTCTGCACTACTAATAGTTAACAGCAGGATGTTGCCTGATACGAGCCCTTACAACGCTAACCCCATCCGAACAGATATTAATGGCTTTTAATAAGAGTTCTTACTGAATAATTTTGTAAGCTTGTTATACAGACTTGTCGAAGATGTCCGGTAACTTAACCCCACCATTTTAGAAAAATTAAAAATAATAAATAATTGTGTTAGTATTGCGCTCTAATGTGCTGCTTCGCAAAATTTGTTTTCAACAAAAAAACATTGCTACATTAACGTAACTTACTTAAAATTTGACACAAAAATTAAATTATATCATTATAAAGGAACACATGTACAACAATATACAAAAACAAAAACAAAACATGCAAAAAGCGTAGGAGAAATAAGACCGAATGCTCTATTCCTATACTCGTATTCAGATCAAGGCATTTTCGTTCACAAACATGTCCACTATCTGACTTTGTCGCTATAAAATAGTTAGAATTCAGGTTTTTACTGTTTTGGCCATGAATTATATGCTGTGTTTTTGCGACTGAAGACAAAGCGGCTATTTTTTGCAGAATTTTGTATTTAAAATAAGCGTCTACCTGTCAACATGTAGGTAAAAGCGATGTTTTAATTCTAGCGAAGTTTACTTGGAATTATTTGAATTCTTATTTTACGACAAATTCGTTCCATCATTTGTAACTTGGTGAAAGACCTGGAAATGAATTTTTGAATCGCTCTTCAAACTTCGTGATGTTATTTTTATCCGTGATTTCGAGTGAAACACAATTGATTCTTGTAGTGATGCCATATGGCGATTTATTCCAAAATTTTGAGATTTCTTAAAATAGAGTGCTTGATGAATGATGAATTTGTCGGGGGGGGGGAGATTGTAACCATTGCAATTTCTTCGAGTGTGTAGTGTGAATTTTTTGAAGTGAAACTTCTTTGGGCTCGATGGGAGTAAAATCTCAAGGCCATGAAACGACACGTTTTGCAACGTTTTGTCTCGCGACGCGATAGGCTATGAGAATAGAAAGGCGCGCATGCGCATATCCGTATTACAGTCAGATGTTAGTGACCGGCATCTAATATATTATAGTATTGGGATCCGTCAAATGGGCATACACCATCTGGTGGCAAAATTTATAACTCGAATGAGGGAAAAATTTACATAGGAACTGTACACACAAATTGTAAAATAAAACACGTTAAAAAAGTAAAATTTTTTTTGATAATGGAGTCGACGAAGTTTTCTTCTAAAGTTAAATAAAATAAAAAGTTAATATGTTCAGTGAAAAGCTGCAACAGCACTTCAGACATAGATCTTCACTCTTCACCTACATTAACTACTTTCCAATAAAAACTAACCGTTTTATATATGTAAAAAAT